AGGAATCAGGGAGGGGTAACCATTGCAGTGCGAAGGAGTACATCAGAGATGCAGCCGTATTTGATCAAACCCATTCAAAGATATTTAGTCCAGGGCAAGGGGACCACACAAGAAAAAGAAATGATAAACAGATGCTTCCAGGCAAGTTCCCGCTATGGCACCAAACTCAACTGGCACAACATTGTATTTGATCTTAACATAAAGCATGCCTGAATCAAATACAGGGAAGAGTTGTCAGCGTTGTCCGTACACTACGATGGACCAGTGGTGTGGATACAAATTACATTGAACAGCAGCAGCAAGGGGAATTAACTTTTAACCTCATCATGGTAAAGTAGCCAATTAAAATAACCAGCAATAGTAATAACCATCACAATAATTTATTTGGTTACTAGCAATGAGCAAATGTGTGTTGACTTTAGTTCAGAACAGTTTTATAAATCTTTCTCGAATTTCAAAGTTCACAAACTTTGTGCCAAACTCCATTGAAGTCCATGGGGGGCACTTCTTGTTACCCAGTTCTGACCAATTGTAGGGCTATTAGGCAAGCATGTATTAAATAAAAGGCATGGTAAGCCGGGCTCTGCCATGGGGGACAATCTACAATGCAACATTCACATATACAAAAATGTTAATGTTTAATTTGCCTCAACAACCTAACAGGATCCCTCCACTCCTAGGCCTCGTAGATGTCATGTGGACCTCTATGGCTATAGTTAGGCCACTAGTTACAAACAAAAGGTTTTTGAAAACAGTAAAAGGAATACAAGGAAAATGTGTTGACAATGGCGGATGATAGTGAATGCGGGCACCAGGAAAATTGCAGGCCCACCATTTAAATATTTGAATAAGATAACTTTTTCAGGTAAAAATATACAGGGGTACAATAAAATTGCTCATACTCAATAACTGATTCTTCTTCATGTGTCTCTTAATGAAGCAGCAGAGTCCCAAAGCAAGCAGGAGCAAAACAATAACATTTCCGGACACCATCCCAGCAATCACTTTATAACTTATAAATGGGCAAGCTTCAGGAAATACATCTGGAAATAAATAAATACAGACATAAATCCATAAGAATACATGAAAAGAGTATTTACAGGTTAAGTTATATTTTGGATGCTTGTATTTTTAATTAAAATAGTTTGATTTTACCATCAATTTAGGGAAGTGTATTTCCACTTTGGCACCCAAATTGGGATAACAAATATTTTATATTTTTAATATAACATACGCTAATATTTAAAAATGCTTCTGCAGTTTAAATTGCTTTTACTTGGGCTAAGGTTTCTTGGCTTCTTCAGGGTTAAAATTTCTACTGGCTTCTCCTTCTTTTGTACTGTTAGGAGGGGCTGTAAGGGGTACAACCCTGGCTTCTGCATCCAAATGTTAATGAAGTTAATGAGAGAAATACAACCCTCAATTTCAGTCCTAAGTCTTTTTATAAGAACAGATCACTGTGAAGAAATAAAACCCCAAAAAATAAACAGATGTAAAAAATATGCATTTAAGACAGCTCAGTGCACAGAAAAAAAAGAATTGACAGAAGAAGCTTTTATGGCAGAAAAGACTTATACGGTCTCTTCTGTCATAAAACGTCTGCCTGTCAGCATTTTTTTTTATTTAGAAGACTTAACTTACACTTTAAAATTTTACAGATTATAGTAATAAGAAAGTAATGAACTTGTTTGTTTTTTCTGGTTGTTTCACAACGTGTATGGACAGCTGAGCTGTAAACAAACCCATGTAATCCCCATAATTTACATATGCAAGATCAGCAACCAATTAGGGTGGTTATCGATCATTATTGAACCAGAGCTGCCTTGAAACCAGGAGTATGCACTACCATGGGTTTCGAGTTCCAAAATAGACACAAAATAATTTTCCTAAAGTTCAGAACACTGTGCTATACAGAATGTGGGCAAGAACTGTTTAATCCTTAAAAAATTAAAGTGACATTAACGGCTAAAGTCGTCCCCCCTCCCCCCCCCCAACTGCTAATGTAGGGACTTACCTTAAATGATGTCTCTTAATCCGATCTTCCTCTTTCCTGTAGATTTTAGCTGTCCCTACAGTGCTGATGCGGGTCTCAGATCCATCGATGGCTCCTCCGTCCTCCTCTTCCCTGCTGGTCCACAGTGTCTGTGCCGGTGCAGACTGCTCCATATACTTACCTTATGTCGCTCCTGGTCTCCTGGCCGAACATCTGAACTGCGCATCCGCCCGCCCCGAGATCCTTGCGGCCACCAGAGACTCTTCCGATGTTCGGATGGGAGTGTGCGGCGGAGACACAGGTCACTATTAACCCTTTCAAAAAGGGTTAATAGGGTTTTTATCGTTTTGCATATATCTACTGCTTGCTAGCAGCAAAAACATGCAAGGGTTTAATTACACTTTAAGGATCCAATGAATTGACCAATTTTAGTTTGATGTAATTTTATAATATCATAAATGGAAAATTACATCATTAGTTGCAAACTGGCAAGGCAGAACATAGCTGTGTATTGGTCACTTAGCGAATGGTCAACCTTCACATCTGTCATTCCTGTGTTATACTAAACATCATTATTAGAGAAGTCGTTACCTGCTGGAAATATCCTAATACTTCTAGACATTGCTTCAAACTGGTTCCATGCTATGCACCTGTAAGTGCCAGGGCTTGTCACGTTTAAGAATAGTCTTTTGCTATGTGAATGTTCCAAAACAGCATCTTCTCTTAACCACATGGCAGTGGGTGGGCTGTAGCTATTCACAATACATATCAAAGTGAACAATTCCCCTCTGTGTAGAATTAAGGAACCTTTTAGTGAACTTCCTGCAGTAAGAAAGGAAAACAATTACATATATTGTAAGCATATCGATGAATCCCTTTGGTGACATAATAACATATTTGAGGAAGCTATTGTAATTATTTGAATCTAAAAGTAATTCTGAGCATATAATAAAACCAGCCAATAGCAAGGTTAATACAATACTGCCCTGTACAAGCAGTCCACGAGTTACATACATCCGACTCCTACTTACAAACGGAGGCTGTTACTCTGCAGCAGGGGTAGTTGTAATGCTATCGTGCTCTTGCCGACGAGGAGTGCCCGCCTTTTTGGGTCTGGTTCTGTAGTGCTGTAGTGCTGTACGTACATTACAGGAAGTTGGCTCTAGTTAGACGTGCAGACGAGGGGTGCCCACCTCTTCTTGCGGGTCACTGTGAGGTTTTTACTGCTGTCTGTATCCTCATTAGAAAGATTTAGTCTCACTTCCTGTCCTTGAGACAACAGGAAGTGAGAGGAAATCTACCCCTAGGAAGGGAAATTCGCTCCTGTAAGAGTTATCATGGGAAAAATGTGTCTCCACTGAAGCTAAACCCAAAATTTTCAAAATCCAATTGTCACAGGGACAGAAAGTGAGGTGAAATATTCTGAACAGGGGCACACACAGCAAAACAAACTTTACAGGGGTTAACCCTTCCCTATGCTATTCAAAACAAAAAAACAAACATTTTTTTGGGTGGAGGTACACTTAAAAAATGTACCTGTTCCAACTTACATACAAATTCAACTTAAGATCAAACCTTCAGTCCCTATCTTGTTCGTAACTCGGGGACTGCCTGTACTTGTAAATGTTGGAAATACAACTTATGCTGATGTAATATTGTCTTTTGAGCACCAGATGGCACTGAAGTGCAAGTCTGGACTATGCTAGTTTTCTATATGAATGTTTTTGTCTATGGTATATATGTTTCCTGTTTATGCTGTAAATCCTATACATGCATGTAATGTCCAGCTAAGCAAGTAAAACTTAATTAAGCATTCATCAAGATCTCAGTGCTTCATCTAAATACATAACCAACAGTAAACTGTTTCAGCAGAACGGAAAATTGTTTTTTAAAGCAGAACTAAATTTAATATTTGTATGCAAATACTTGATTGTTGCAAATTAAATAAATAAATTACATTAATTACAATTAAATAGTGTGTTAATGCGCACTTGTAAAATATATCTTTTTCAGACGGTTTCCCAGCTGCTGCAGAGGCACAGTGCAGGATCTGTGATTCTCTATTTGCTTCAGCACTGCAAGCTGCATGGCATAGAGATCATATGACTTCCCCATCACTCTCTTGGTAGATCATTATGCGTCTATATTTGCATAAGACCTTGCCGCACTCCTTGTTCCTTGCCGCACTCCTTGTTCCTTGCCGCACTCCTTGGGTGCTTGTAATTAGGGATGCTGATGTATTTTGGCAAGTACTTGTACTCGCCCAAATGCTCCAATGCCTAGCCCGATACTTCCGGTATCAGGAAGCCTGGCACGCTGCCCTGCTTCCCTGCTTACACGCTGCCCTGCTTCCTGATTGGCCGGTAAGCCAGCTCCATGCTCCCTCGTCACTTGCGACGAGGGAGCATGGAGCCGTCTTCCCGGGACAACGACAATGCAAAGTGAGCACAGAACAAAGATCTGGAAGTATACATGCACAGTTTTTATCTTGCAATTTTAGAATGTTTGTGTTAAAAAAAAAAAAAACAGTTATAGCATATATACTATAAAGCAGTGTTCCCCAACCCCCGGTCCGCGGACCGGTACCGGGCCGCACAGTCTCAGACGCGGCGATAAAAAGGTTGGGGAGCACTGCTATAAAGGACTACAACATGTTCACTTTCAACGGAACTTTCAGAAAGTGAAGATTCTCTACTCCTATAGTAAATCAGGATCATTCTGTTTAACTCTACATACAAACGATCCCTAAAGACCTATCTCTTCAGGGAAGTTTATCCCACCTCAACCTAACTACTGAACTATCACATTCTCAAACAATTCATCCCCACACAGCTACCTCCTCATGTATCACTGGCCCCTCCCTTTAGATTGTAAGCCCTCAGGGGCAGGGCCCTCCTTACCATCTTGTCTTGAATTGTATTGTGATTGTAATGTCTTCTTTATATTGTAAAGCGCTGCGCAAACTGTTGGCGCTATATAAATCCTGTATAATAATAATACATTATAATTAAACAAAAGTTTTGATACCGTCGTCTGTGGCAATTCTGACTTCTGGTCTCTGCTGAAGATCTAGTATAAAGGAAGTAAAATATAAAACAAAAATAATAAAAGTTTACAAAAAGCACAAAAAGGAATGTCATTCAGGACTACTCTTTAAATGTTTTATTTTTTTTAATTTAAAAATTGGTGTATGTCTTCTACATTTTATGGTCCAAAGTAAATCTATTCAAGGTAAGCTTGCAAATTATTGACATTTTTCTGTGTTGATCAACTGCCCAATCCTGATGTCAGCAAGATCCACTAGAGTTATCAGGTTCACCAGGTCAAATAATTAAAAATTGTATAATTCTTTTAATACAAGAAAAAAAATAATCTGAGTTTTTTTAATCTATCTATCTATCTATCTATCTATCTATCTATCTATCTATCTATCTATCAGCTATCTATCTATCTATCTATCTATCTATCTGTCTGTCTGTCTATCACAGTTTTAATAAAAGAGGCACAATCCTTCCAAATTTCTAAGTGATGTAGTTATAAATGACAGTGTGAGAGTCCTAACCCAAAATTTTAACATGATTCCCATATTTAAAACAAAGAGTTCCTGTTGTTCACCGAACTTACTAAGGACATGGAGCTCACAATTCTAGCTACGTTCAAGTAAACTGGGTGGGAATGAGCTTCCCAAAGTTTCCAAAATTGGCAAAATAAACTGCTAAGGGATACAAATAACTAAAGATCTGTTTTGCTGGTTCACACATACAGGGGGACACTGATGAAATAAAAAAAAAACAAACTGAATATTCACTAACCAAATCAGACCAAATATGGATGAAATCTGTGTTAAATAATCCATTCACCTCAAAAAGCAAAAGTACATGTTGGCTCAAGAACTCTGGAGCAGTTTGATGTCTCTACACCGGGGACATTATATTATTTTAAAGTTAGTAGTCAGGCTCATTTACAGCACGCTCATTTCAGGTCTGAAACTCATAAGTATGTAAAAGATAACTATGGGGTAACCTTTTTATCCCATAGTTCTCTTCAGGGACATATACTAACCTGCTCCCGTGACCCAAGCTCAGTATATAGCAGGCTATTGAGGGCGCCGCAGTCAATACGGATCCCGACAATACTGTCGATCCCGATCAATAGAGCCGACCTGTGATAGTTTGTAACACGTCGGCTCTATGAGGATAAGTGTAAATCACTCACCTCATAGTTCTCCTTTAAGTCTGACACAACCAGGAACCTAGCATTTTCAAAAGAAGCCCAGCAATGGCAGCCCCAGTTTAAAACCCAGTACCTTTTTCAGTTATAATTTCGATTTCCAGAAAGGTTTCATTGATTCCATATTTATTTGATGCACAACATCTGTAAATATCAGCCTCTGTTATGTTGGCAGCAGACCAAAACTTCCCGCTAGCGATACTGTTATCTTGCTTTGTATGGTTTCTTTTCCTCCAGATCACACTTGCTGGTGGATTGGCTTCCGCTGAGCAGTTTAGAGTCAAAACCTCCTTCTTGTTAATAACTATATAGTCATTAATGTCAACGCTTCTTCCTAAAAAATAAAATGTGTGTGTATTAAAAAGCATTGTAGGAGCAGTGAGAATAAAGCTGAGGTAGAACATGCAAACACATTATTAAGGGGTCTTTCACATGGGCAGTCAGATCGGGTATGCCTGTCAGCTTTTCAGGCAGACCCAATTGGATGCCCAATGCTAGTCTATGGGCTGCAGTGTGAAAAACGGACAGATGTCCATTTATACTTGGTTACATGCAAATCCGGCTACGTCCGGAAAAAGAAATGGAAGACTGTTATGTTTCAAAGGACCTGATTGTGCGGATCTGGGGTAATCTGATGTCCACTTATATCCGATTCCCTATAGACTGACATGGGGTCTGGTCATTTCAGTTGGACGGACACAATATCACAACCGTGAGATCGGATCCATACTGCTCCGATTGGGAGGGGATCTGTCTATGGATCCCCTCCTGATCAGCCCGTGTGAAAGGGGCCTTAACCTGGTGTTAGAAAATTATTAGAATCTTCAACAAATATTTTATTTGGCTATAGATCAAAATAAAAAAATATTTTTTCCTAATTTTGAAATGTTACGTTGGGTGTTTTGTAGATTTTAAAAAGACCAAAAAATATATATAACATACCTGTAGATGAAGAAAGGGTGATCTTTATGTTTGCAGGGGGATCTATAATACAATAATATGGTAGGGAAGTTATAATATATACCATCAGCTTGATATAATACATGAGGTTGAACTCGAATTACAAAGTTTACAAATTTAAAGAATTGTCCAGCCTAAGATGAATGGTCGTTGTATGTTGTGCCTGTTATATACCATTGTATTCGAATCAGAGAGAGAGCACCTGAAAGCAGACAGCTTGTACCATGCTCTCTTTTCACGGTGCTCTGTGACATTAATGTCATCGGTGAGCCCTGTATTACATGTTTATTTGTAAAATAAAGGTTTTATATAAATAGTAAAAAAACTAAATCAATTCAAAAATGTAAAAATGTCAAGCTAAATAGACAAATTGCCCCAGACCCATTATAGTTCCTCTTTAAGAAGAAACTGATTGTATACCAAAAAGGAAATTCAATGCTATACAGTAACTATTTAGAGCCAGTGGGATTCCGTTCACAAATATTGTTTAGTTTTGGTCAGAGTTAAAAAGGACTTTTAAAATTTCTTGGGTTTTTATTTACATCTGGGTTCCTGTTTGGAGGCTATGACCTTGAATTCCGCTTTTGGTGGTCACACAAACCAAATTTAGACTCTCCCCATTAGAGACAAAGACAGTAATGAAACCTAATAGTGGTAATGTATCCTTCTCTATTCTACTTTCTAAAAAAAACATTTAAAACTGTCTGTGCCCATGCTGAAATTTACTTACTGCCCGTTTTAGTACAGGAAGTAAAAGAACAATCTCCCCAATGAATACACCACAATAAACGCCAAATAGAGCTTCTACCCTTTCTTGTCACTTCCCAAAAATAAAAAATAAAAGTTTGTCCAGTGTTAATATTTCATACTGTAGGACAGTTAGACCATGGAATGCCAAGCAATGATTACAGTCTATGGGTTTGTTTGTTGTACATACTGTATTGTCTTATTTAACATAAGAAAATGTCCATACTTATCTTAAGCTTCAAGTGCCAAAATGGAAAGTAAACAATAATACATTGCATGCCAGAAAAGCTGTAAAGCTTGAAGTATAATGTGTACATATGAAGGATATGTAAGTAGATACATACATTCAATGTTGAGGGTATGCTGTGCAGTAATTGTCTTCCCAGTTGAGAGGGTCACCTCACAGGTAACAGATGCCTGATGGTCATTAAGAGTCGGAGTAAATGTCAAATTTGATGACTTCATCCATGTCCCACCTACGTTACTCTTTTTCCATTGTACACGAGTAGGTTTTTCGCGCAATTTCCAGGTGGTACACATTGCAAGTTTGCATTCTGCCCTGCAATCAGTTCTTTTGGCACACTGATCTTAGGCTTCTCCTTGAGGTCTGTTGGAGTAGTTGGATACAGAACATTAAAAAATAGAACATCATCAGCACATTTGGGTAAAGCAAATAGAGGCACAGCAGCTAGCCTATAAGTCTTGCAGGACTATAGTCCGAGGGTTATTTCCCACAAGAGGTAATGTCTGTTTTTATTTTCTCCCTGTGTTTAGGAATGGTGGAATCAGGAGAATTGCCGATTCCTCCCCTCCTTTAAATATTTGCATGCAGAGCTTTCTCAGTTTAATCCAAGCCATTGTGATTCATTAACTGGTTCTATTCAGACTGAACAAATCTGCACACATGGCATACCGTTTGACTACACAGTAGCCGTTATGTTGGGATTATGGTTAGCCTACGTGGATGCCATATCTTTCTCTGGGACTTCTGGATTCCCCTATTGTCCCCGGGTCAGACAATCTTTGCTGTCTGGCGGTAGACGGAGGGTGCAGATGGAGGATGGCTTGCCCTTGGATGCAAATATGTATCACCAAATACAGTAAAGTCTGATGAAGCAGATTTTATTCTGCAAAATGCATTACTACCACTACTAATTGTTTTTGGCTGTGATACAGTACCACGTCTAGCTCTCATCTTGGACACCTATACTTAAAGGATTGGACGGCCTGTAATATATATGTTGGACTTCGAAACTCTGCATAGCTACAAAGAAGATCTGACGTGGGTAGAAGTATACTCAGCTGGGTTATTTGTCTACATATTAATCTTATGACTGACTTTTTACATTTTTAATAATAACAATTTTATTTTTTTAATAGATCCTTGTATATGGTACTTGTTACACCTTAAAAATACCGACATAATGGCTACTATGTTATCAAACCGTATGCCTTCTGTTAAAAAATCTGGGATGTAGTGTTAGACAATTATGTTAGTTATGGTGCTGTTGCAATTAGTATAAATCTGCAAACAGATTATCAGCAATACTTCAAACTGATTTTCTTATCACTGACTGTGTTCTCTACCAAAAGCAGTTTTGTAAAATAGCTGTTTGGCTGTGGTAGGGACTTTAGCCTAATACACCTGCTGTGCTCTACATCTGTACAGGATAAAGAAGATGACAGACCCTGTAATTCTGCAGACTCAGAGCAACTGCCCAACTTCACTTCCATTGTTTCAACTACTATGTAGTCCACATATTCATAGTTACATAGATACATAGTTACATAGTATTTGAGGTTGAATAAAGACATAAGTCCATCAAGTCCAACCTATTACGTGTGTGCATTTTTATGAGCTGGTGTGTGCGTGTATATGTGTCCATGTGTGATTTTCTCTTAGCAATACCTGTACCCCTGTATATTATGGTCTCCCAGGAACTCTACACTCTTAGCTGAAATCACTTCCTGTGGCAGCGAGTTTCCGACCTTAACCGCTCTAACTGTGAAGAACCCCCTGCGCCCTGTGTGGTGAAATTTTTTTTCCACCAATTTTTGGTTGTGCCCTCTGGTCTTTGTTAAGGAGCTGACCGTAAACAGTTTGTTACTAAGGTTGCTGTCACCCTTGAATAGTTTATACATGAAAATCATGTCCCTCCTTAATCCCCTAACCTCCAACGAGAACATATTTAATTTTAACAACCGCATACTCCAGATACTCCGCATACTCCAGATGTGGCCGAACCAGTGATCTATAAAGTGGCAAAATTATAGACTTGTCCCTGCAATACATTCCCTTCTTAATGCAAGACAGGACTCTGCTTGCTTTGTTTACAGCAGTCTGACACTGCGAGCTGTTATTCAATCTGCGGTCTATAATGACCCCCAAATCCTTCTCCGTTTCCGGCATCCCTAGTGGCACACCCATAAGTGTATAATCAATTTGCTTATTTTTAACTCCAAGGTGCATTACCGTACATTTATCAACATTGAACTTTATCTGCCATACAGTTGCCCACTCCTCGATTTTCTTCAGGTCCTCCTGTAATGTTATAATGTCTAAATCTGTGTCTACTACCCTCCCAATTTTCGTATCATCAGCAAACACTGAGATATGACTTCTCACTCCCTCCCCGATATCATTAATAAACAGGTTAAAAAGCATGGGACCCAGGACCGAACCCTGGGGTACGCCACCGAACCTCTCTTATAAAATGAAAGAGCAGGTTACAGATCTGATTGCAACCTGTAGTGTGGCAATGCCGCATTCAGCTTATAAACCCGGCACACTTACTGCAGGCCTGATTTAAGGAAGCAGGTAACAACTTAGTACATTTAAAATAATTAAAATGGATGAGCTGTGGAATCATTAGGGATGCTCAAAATTGACAAATTTTGCTTTGACAAGATTTTGGTCAAATTTACAAAATGTTGATGAAATTTCCCATTTTGTCAAAATGCAATGACGTCAATGGGGAAGGGGAAATTTAGGTTTTACTTTTAAATCTGCAATGTGCTTTAAAGGACAAGTCATACCCCCAGCCTGCTTGATCCAGTACTTATCTCTGTCACAGTTCCTGTTAACTTCACTGTACAGCCCTGCCCAGAGCCGCAGAGTCTTTCTTCACAAATAATCGCAATCAGGTCCTCTTAAGTCTGCACTTGCACACTACCCCCACTCCTGTTCATTGCTATGGAGAGAGCCATACTACGCAGGATGACTGGAGGAAGCCATGAGTACAGCTCTTTTCATTGGAAGTAAATAGGGCCACTGTGTGCATGTGCAGAATGAAGAGGACTCAGTGAGCAAACTTTCTGGAGCAGGGATGTATGGTTTCTGCCAGGGCTGCACAGTGAGGAACGTTGGATCGAGGACAAAGGTAAGTAATTCTACAGGTGGGCTGCTTTAAGAGGGTGGAAGCATGCCTTAAAGGACATATTTTTTTTCCTTTAAATAATTCTGAGGGTTTTTTGTGTGTTTTTTTTTCCATTAAGAAAAGAAAAGGTGCAAAAATAGCACCTTACAAAAAGTTGTAAACAAGAACAAATTTGTGTTTTTTTTCTTTTTTTTTATATTTTCTTGTTATTTTATGTCTTTCTTTACATATAACAATACAATCCACAATAAATGGAGCAATAAAGAACAGAAAACCACCAAACAATTGTCAATATGTTGTGAAATACTGTGAGTCCATTATAATGGATATGAGTATTCATTAGACATACCTGTCACCTGTACTGATACAGAAGAGTTTACATAGTCCACCTGGCTTGATTGAGTCTCTTTAAATCTAAAAAAATATTTCCCGGAATCTTCTTTCTTGGCACTCGTTATGGTCAGGGTGCAGTTGCCATTATTTGAGTTTCCTGTGAAAAAGAAGTTTCCTTTTCTTCCAGGATAGGATGGGTTGCTAGAGGCCACAAAAAAGTTTTATTGGTGATCCAAAGTCCCGTGGCATTTGTAAACTTACTCTTGAAGTTAGCAGTGAAGGTACAAGGTATGGTGACACATAGACCTTCCTGCACCACTACAGATCGACGTACTTGTATAGTATTGTCAGCGAACGTCTGACACTTCATTCCTGTAAAGATAACCATTGTGTAAATATTTATTGACCAACCTGTGAACTGTGACACATATAGAGGGAAATACAGAGGAGGAAAAATAAAGAGGAACTTTTTTTTTTAAATAAAGCTACCCATTTAAACCATGTCAACTTCCATTGTTGGGAAAATGGTCCAATTTTCAAAAAAATGGGTTCCACAGTTTCTTATCAATTACTAAACAGAAATATGGTGATATGTTGATATGTACTACAAATATTGATTCATCATGTTTCACCCAAAGGCAGTAACCCTAATATCCGGTGTTTTAAAGAGATTCTCAGAAAACAATTTTTTTTCATCTACACAAAGAACGGCCCAGAGGTATAAATGTTGCTGATTGGAGCACTCTTGCTTTGTCTCAGCAGGGGGTGTGTTGGACCTCTGCAAAGAGAGTACTGCTTCCACACAGAGAGTAATGTTTTTAGGGATGCACCGATACCTGTCCAGATACCAGTTCTGATACCTGTTCAGATACCAGTGCCGATACTTGGCATTTTCATGAGAACTACCTGGGTTGCAGAAGTTGCTGCTGGGGCCTGGCTCTGGCACTCCACCACTGTCCTGAAATCATTAGTTGATATTGTTCTAGAAAAACTGTCACATGACAATAAACAAAAATGTATCAGTACGTGTATCTGTGAGTACTCGGACAAGTATCAGTACTTGTACTTGCAAAAATTGTATCGGTGCATCCCTTATATATATTTATAAAAACAAAATCATACATTAAAAAAGAGATGTACAAATCCCAGGAGCTCCGTGCGCTCCTTACAAATGTTTTCTCTAGTCTAGTCTTGGAGCTGGAAAATTATCTATACTTGTACTTGTACCGAGTATGGTACTTGGTATCGGTGCATCCCTAGTAATGGTTCATCTCTGCAGCATGGAGGTGGGGGACAAGCCTTTCTACTCAGGCGGTGGCTGCTTTCTAAACAAAACAAGCTGTAAGAATTTGCACAGTTCTTGTTTTGCTGCACCGTGAATTTAAAGTTCAATTTGACTCTCAGTTTCTTGAGTAGTTGCTAAATAACATGACCATAGTTACATAGTTACATAGTATTTGAGGTTGAATAAAGACATTAGTCCATCAAGAATTTATTGTAAAGGAGAAAAAAGCGTTCAGCGCCTCGGCCCTCTCCTTGTCGTTTGTGACTAGCTTCCCGCTTTCATCCTTTATTGGGCCTATCTGCTCCTTTCTCACCTTTTTACTGTTAATATATTGGTAGAATTTTTTGGGGTTCTTTTTACTATCTGCGGCGATATGCTTATCGCACTCAGTTTTAGCTGCCCGTATTTCTAGTTTGCATTTTTTGTTACATTCTTTATAGTTAAGACCAGTTCTCTTTAAAGGTAAGCCATAGCGGTCAGTTGTAGTGTAAGACCAACTTAAAGTGTCTCTAACAAAGGAGTTAAATCTTAAATATGCATTCCAGTCCTCTAACTATTAACAAAATAGTATCTTATTTGTGGATCACTCAGCTGTAGATTCTCAAATCATCTCTAAATTGGTGCTGACACTGTGCTTCCTTCTGTAGGGTGGCTACTTTTATTCCCCATGGTCCCTGTGTGCGTTCTAAAGTAGCCAACACTCCAAGCTCGCTCCTCTGAAGGACTACAATCTCAGTACAATTAGTAAACTAAATATGAGATTGTAGTCCTTCATGGGAGTGAGTTTAGAGTGGTGACTACTTTACAACACACACATGGACCATGGGGAACAAAAGTAGCCCCCCTCCAGAAGGAAGGACAGTGTCACCACCAATTCAGAGATGATTTGAGGTTTTACAGCCCAGTGGTACACAAATAAGATACATTTTTGTTCATAGTTAGGGGACTTGAATACATTTTTAAGAATTAACTTCTGAGTCTTTTTGTTCTGATATAATTTGCCCTTGCTATTGGCAGTCAGACTTACCCTTCCAAGGCAGGAACTGGATGAATATCATTAGAAGTAACCCCACCCTATAGCCTTTATGCAACTTCATCTTGACACTGAGCTGATACCGAGTGGATCTCATGATGCCTGTAAATTTATAACATATCCAGTAGAAAATGTAAACCAAAATAATAAATAAGTGTATTTTTCATCAAACTGTTCAATAAGCATATGTTATTTATAATATTTATAAACAAATATTACTAAAAAGTGATTACACATTGCATTTTGATCGTGGTGTGCTACCATACGCATGGCAATGTGAGGTGTTTCAGATGCCAACACACTGTAATGGAAAAAAAACCAGACCTACAACACCACAACACATAATATAACTTTGTGTTTGCCCACCCTGCTAATCCATGCAGAATACTGTCTTGTAGTAAATTTAGCCCCTACCATTGGCAAACGCTTGGATTGGGTTTGGCAATGCTAGCTTAAAAAAGCATAGATGCATAACAGAATTCTGTATTGTGCGCAGGGCAGCCACCAGAAAGTTTGGGGCCCCTTACACAGCTTTAGGCCTGGGCCCCCTGCCCCCTTACCAACACTGCACAGGCCTGTCCACTGGCTGTCCCATCAAGTCCGCCCACTGGCTGTCCCTCCGGGTACATAGTGCACCCACTTTTATTTTAATACTATTACAACTTAATATATGGAATTTAAATGTGTATTCCAAGGCACAAGTAACACTGACTCCACTGGGATGACAACGCACAGGTAACACTTACTCTGCTGGGGTCACACTACACAGGCAACAATGACACTGTTGGGGTGACAACGCACAGGTAACACTGACTCTGCTGAGGTGACAACGCACAGGTAACAACGACACCGCTGGGGTGACACTGATTCTGCTGGGTGACAACGCACATGTGACACTGACTCTGTTGTGGTGACATCGCACAGGTGACACTGACTCTGCTGGGGTGACAACACACAGGTAACACTGACAGTTCTGGAATGACACTGCATCCACCGAATCAACATTTTAAAAGTCCCCACCTAATGTCTCCTCCTGCCCTCTGAACTCCCCCTGCCACCCCCAAACAGCGCCAGTTAAGCAACACTGGCTGTAAGTCTGTACCTGCTGGCTGCTGCTGTCCTCTGCCAACCCCAACCCCCCCATCCTAGCGCCGGGCCACTGCTCAGTGCCCGGCACTGGC